ATTTTAAGCTAAAAATTCATAAAAAATTTTCTTTTTAAATCTAAGATTTGAAAATTTTTAATAATCTATAATATATCCTAGACAGATAAACCATCCGCGTTCAGAATCGTTTTTCGTATACAATGATACATATCATTGCATTCAAATTTAACCTACCTTAGTCAGAAGTCCACCCCACCACCAATGTACAGCAGAGCGATACCCACTTACCCGCTTTTTTTAATTTAATTCTATCCAGTATCCACTATGTATACGTTTAGTATTAAAATAATAATAATAATAATAATAATAATAATTACAAACTATAGGATTCACAAATATGAGTTTGAATTAGATAAAATCAATAATAATTTACGGATCTCGAAGTTTAATAAAAAAACTTTAATTATACATCTCGTCTAAAACGAACATGGTACCTATCGTGATCTACTAATAGACTAACCCCCACCACCACATGTCATAAACATAGGCTTCCGCAGAAATTTTTCTAGGGTGGGGGGGAGGGCAATGTTAGGATTTGAGGATAAATATTATAATTTTACTAGATGTTTTAAAATAATAACCTTTTTTATTATACTCGTATAAAATGTATTATATTTTATTATATTACAAGTACAACTTATTTTATACTTTAAATTTGTTGTATAGTATATAGTCATTTATCTTAAAACATTAAATTAAAAAAAATATTTTGAAAAAGCCAGGGGGCAAATGCCCCGGCTTGCACCCCCCTGCGGGCGCCTATTGTCATGAAGTAGGTACCATCAATGGATGGTCTCTTCATTCAAGACCCCTGTCCAYACTGATGTAAATAATTGTAATTGTAATATAAGTTATTATTTGTTACTTTATAATATGTATTATTTTATATTTTCTATCTAAATTTAATCACTTGTACTTATTGTAAATATTATTTTACAATTTTCTAGCTAAAAAAAAAAAATAATTATACATTTATACATATAAATTAATAAAGAACAACAAATTAATAAACCCTTTTTGTGCTTATGCTATTTACAATTGTTTATTTTGGTTTTAACTCCGAGATAACATAAAGATAACCATGTATTTGTTTAAAAAATATTATAGTAAGTATATATATATTTTTTTGTTATTTAGAACAGACCATAACTGATCAACATGGGAAAATCGATATCAACCACAACCGGTGGTATTGGACATTATTTGGTTAGGTACGTACAGT